TATTCAAAAAGTGACATTAGCGCATTACATACCTGAAAGTACATACGCAAATTATGAGCTCATACAATTACTGATTTTATAATTGTTTATAAAAAAAATTCGCAAAAAAGGAATATCCAGTATCCACTATCAAGTTACTTAAGTAAGTTACAAAGTTATTCTAGAGCTAATAATAGTATCTACTAGTTATTAGTATTTAAAACTTTTTTTCACATTTAATATTGGCAATTTGCATAACATCTTTATTTTTTTTTTGTTTCCGCTCTTATATATGCTGTGGAGTGCAGTAGACGACAGCCGTGCAACCTGCATACGCTGCACACAAAAAATGGCAGTTTCTGCAAGTTGTTGGCTGCTGTCACTACTGCAGCACGCCGTCAATACTCCCCGCGCTGCTCTGTGTACTTTCTGCTTTCGCTCAGCTCAACAAAAAAACTCGACGAAAACTCGTTATCCTGCTGCGCTGTTATCCAACAAAAAAATATGCTTTTCTTTACCTTTTCCACTCAATCAATAAGTACAATTCAATGCTCCTGCTACTCCCGTTCTTTGTCACCAATTCAATTTTTAATTCTTANCACATTTAATATTGGCAATTTGCATAACATCTTTATTTTTTTTTTGTTTCCGCTCTTATATATGCTGTGGAGTGCAGTAGACGACAGCCGTGCAACCTGCATACGCTGCACACAAAAAATGGCAGTTTCTGCAAGTTGTTGGCTGCTGTCACTACTGCAGCACGCCGTCAATACTCCCCGCGCTGCTCTGTGTACTTTCTGCTTTCGCTCAGCTCAACAAAAAAACTCGACGAAAACTCGTTATCCTGCTGCGCTGTTATCCAACAAAAAAATATGCTTTTCTTTACCTTTTCCACTCAATCAATAAGTACAATTCAATGCTCCTGCTACTCCCGTTCTTTGTCACCAATTCAATTTTTAATTCTTATAATTTTTCTTAATTTTTAGCTCACTTATCGTAACGCATTTGTACTCCTGCTTCTTATGCTGCTGCTGCTGCTGCTGCTGTTGCTGCTGCTGCTGCACTACTTTACTTAGGACCAACACTCAGTTTTTGGCGGCACACGTTTTTCGATTGTTGTTGGTATTCATAAATTTGGTTACTAATTTGCGTGAATGTCCATTAGGATCAAAGTGGTTGGTGTGCTCACTGGCCTCCTTCTTGCTACGTTGCTTGCCGCTGCGGCCCGAAAAGATATGCTTATCGTGGTCGAAATTGTAGTGCTCGTATTCATCAAAGTAAGCCTCAGACATTTTTTTTTTTAAGTAAAGATTAAAGCAGCTCACAAAATTACAAATGAGATCTTGATGGATTTTAGTTGTTAACTTCCTTTATTAGTTTTGACTGCTTCTTTGTAAAAACTCCGTTTTTTCGGGGGTGTGTAATACTTTTTGTAAGAAAATTTTTTGTTGAGATATTTTTAGCTTTTACAGATATGCAACTCGCCTTTATAGCGCGTATAAGTACGTCTTTGCTTCACAAATTGTGTTATTCAATTAAACTGGATTTTTGCTGCGCATTTCCCTTTATATACCCACCGGAGAGCCGGTGCGAAAAGCGCCGTTTGACTTGCTTTTGCTTTTGAATTTGTGTTTTGTTTCTGTTTTCGTTGCCATTGCTAGTGGCACTGTTGGCACAATTGTATTGGTGGCTGATGTGTATCTGCTTGTGTATGTTGCTGTTGCTGTGTTTGGGGCTTGCTCTCTATGTATTATCTCTCCCGCACTAAATGGGCGACAACCGGTTGGGGGACCTTATCAGACGTCTCAACGTCTATTGTAGTATGCGGTCTTTGTTTGTTTTTTTGTAGATTTTTTCATACTGCGCAATTTCATTTTTATACATATATATTATGTTTATTATTCATACATCCCAACTCCTAGGTAAGCAGTATATATCTATGTACATGGGTAGCTGCATACAAACAGCCTGCGACCGAAACAGCTGGAAACGAACGACAGGTAAAATCAAAAGGAAATACATAGGTATAAACAAAACAAAAACAAATATGCATATACATATTTATGCGTACTTATGTACTCCCTTACCTCCATATGTATGTACATACATACCTGAATATGTACAGAAGTAAGTAAAGCTATTTCATACTCACCACCACTTGCTTCCAGCTGACTCTCTCAGATTTCATCTGCTTTCTATACGCACAGGGTGCGTGCCAACACTTCGAGAAAGGTGGAGTGCGATCTGGAGTTACTGAAGTGGATGGCAGATGAATCAACTCAATACTAGCGAGTGTAGACTTTGTGATTATTCTAGAAATTTGGAGCACACTTTGGAGTAATAACTAGTACAGGTGATGGGTATTTTGGCACAGAAAACATACATACCTAATTACGAGTTAAGTTTTCCCAATGAAATTTATTTGATACAGCGTCATCACAGCTCCAAAGTCTTCTGTGGTAATGGTGTACTGAGTTTATCGTACATACATACATATGTACTTGTTGAGTTATTACATTTAGTTAAATCTTCTGCAATACAACTGATAAAATATTTAACCAATTTTTTACGTTTTATATATCGCTTAAAACAGTAATGGAGAATGTAAGTAAATTCACGACGGCGGGAATTGATTTCGAAGTATTGAATAGCACAACTACGAAACGAAGTCGCCGAACCGGAAAATGAAAAAGGCGGAAGTGAAATAAAAAAATAACAAAGCAAATATAGGAAAAGTTGAATAAAATCAGTAAATAAAATAAAATATTACAAAACGATGATACATAATGATAATAGTATATAAAACAACATGAAATATATAAAATAAGGTAAATAAAATCAATTAAATTAAAAAATTAGCAACATTTTTTTATTTTATTAGAATAACTTATTTCAAACTAAAAATAGGAGTCTAGTGTAGAAGAGCGACATGAACAAAGTATGTAAGTATAACGATTTATTATGTCGTTGAACTGGCTAAGGACAGGTACACGCAAAACATGCGATTTCCATCAACCAAGGTTAGTTTGACAAAGCCGATAAGAACATGTTCTATACATACATATGTATGTATGTACATAGTGTATGTATGCACAAACAAAGTACGGAAGCCTAAAATTTCTGCGTTATTTTAAAACGAAAAGCACAAAAATCATCCTTGCTATTGCAGCAGAATTTTGCAAAAGTTATGTACATACATACATACATACATATGTATGTAAGCATCACCATTCCATAAACATTAGCAAACAAAGAAAGCAAAACGACAATTGAAACTACTGGCTATACACTGAAACTACTGGTTCCCACGACAGTCGGGTCTACGTAACCGGAACGACCCAGATTTATATCTGGCCAAGGACTGTCACTCCAGCAAAACTCCCCAAAAAGTCTTTGGGGAATTTGTATGCTGCTACAACAACAACAACAACAACAACTGGCTATACATGTCCATACATACTGTGTATGGACGGTACTTATGCAAAACCTCGTATCTCAGAATTCGCTACTACTTCACATCTCGTAAAATTCAATCAAAATAGTTCTTAGAATGCTTAAAAAATTATTATATTTGAATTTAATTTGAAAACTGACAGAAAAAAAAAAATTTTCACTTAAATTGCTTTCGTGAAACCGGCAGTTAATCTTTAATATTCAGTAAAAAAAAGTTATTAAAAATGACTTTCTGTTATTAGTAGAGAGTATTTTGTTAGAGAACGTTGTTTGACAGTGTCTTGAGATACGAGGTTTTGCCAAAGTACCGTCGGTATGTATTTATGGCGTGTCTAGAATGCTCACATGTCGGCCACCTAACTTGTTGCTCAAAATAAGCAAAATAATAAAGTAAATACTTATGTATGCATGTAGAATATTTTTGCTCTATATACATACATATGTACATTTGCACATAAATCCCACGCACAAACATTCTAGCCGGCCAATAGCAACGTGATTATGCGCACACACGTAAGCTAAGAAGTGTGTTTGTTTTTTTTTTTCAAAGTGCGCAGTCCAATGCCTTGACCGATTTTTTTCTCTGTCTTTGTTTTCGTAACCATATTCGCCGGTTAGTTTATTTTCATACAAAATATAATAAATAACTACGCAAGTGTTATCGTTCGTCTACAAGTTTGTAATCAGAAGTTCATTTCATGCGCAATGGTAAAAGAACTTAAGACTGACTGTTCACCTTGTAGCGGTAGCCCTGTCGCTGTCGGCTTCATCGATAAATGCTTCTAGATTATTCTGAGCTGAAAAACAGTTGAATAAACTTTCATATCGCATATGATTCACTTGATCAAACCGTCAGATGGCGTATCACTTTACACACAAAAAAATAAAATAAAAACACTTGTGCACAAAATTTGAACTGAATGACTTGCATTCGGTTTCTTTTTACATTTCATTTTGCACATAGACAAGCTGCATGTAATGTATTAACACGCATTATTAAGACATATCTTCGAAATACACAAATGCAAGTTATGACAAACATTGAAAAAATACTAATTTATGCACTTTCACAAAATTCGTTTGCAGGAAACTTCAAAATGGCGAAACAGCTGACCGGATCCCATTAGCACGGAAAAAGTAGGTTTAGCAGCAGCAAATAACCGGGTGCTCCATACAACTTCCCAAAGGATTGTATTAAATACAGAGTGGTACTTCCTATGGTTTGAGAATAAGGTGTTGGGTGATTCAAATAAATTTTAAGTTGTAATAAAAGCCGTCATCGATTCGCCCCTTCTCGCTCGCTATGTTTGAGTTCCGGTCGCTTAAAGAAGAATTTTGCATGTGAAAGCAACAACAAAGTTAGCTAGCACGGATAGACGATAGCGAGTTTGGTTGTACCTCATTGAGTTCGTTCTTTTCGCCACTCGCTAACTGTTGGCGAATCGATGACGGCCAAAATTATCGATCCGGTATAATGCCTGCAAATGTTTCTGGATATACATAGAGTCGTTCTGATCACCCTGTGACAAATTTATCGATAAAAATATCGCACTTCCTTAGCGAGAAAAATCTCAAAAACGCGCGCGGAAACGAAGCTTCGGCATAAATTCGTAGTGTAGTGAATATATTAAAAAGAAAGATATATAAAATAATTTTAATTATGTAAGTGCATAAAGTTATGAGCCAAATGTACGTACATATGTGCGTGAGTAGCTACAAAAGATGTTAGGCTCATTATCTGATAGCGGAAGTGTGTGGTGAAAATTAACTTGAAAATTCGTATGCATTTACCAATATAAACTATATCCGGGTGCAGTTGTATGGTATGATAATGAATAAATAAAGTGTATCGCGAAAATGTGAAAATACGTAGGCAAATATAAGCTATAGATTTAAGGGAAGCTAATTGGTGTATTTTAATATGTATTTTGCATTTGTATGAGCTAAATATGCACATACATATGTATGCATATATATTCGCAAGGCTGTTAGTGGTGTTGGAATATATAAATAAAGTGCCTTCCGATAAAGGGCAAATGTGTGAAAATAATTTCCCCACGAAGTGTTAAAATATTTATACCACTTTGGTAAAATGCAAAGCTTCTATAAAGTTACCCGCAGGTGAGTCCTCTGTTCTCTGTTATTAAATTATTCAAAGACATTAAGTAATTTAAGCAATTACATATTAATTTTATTATATTTTATGCGCTATTCTTAAAGATGATTTAAACTTTCCGATGCATCAGCTTCTGGTTTGGGTGCGATAGGCACAATACGTCTCTTCTTCGTCAATATTGCAGCCTTTTTTCTTTTGCACATTTTTTTACCGCCCTCGCTGCTGGTTTCTGTCTCGGATTTTGCGATCGTCTCTGCGCTCACATCAACCACATCTAACGGTGGCAAATTGAATTCATCGCATGCGTTGGTCTCAAAAGCATTATCAACTATTTCCGGCAGTTCCAGCTGCACCACCTTTTCCGTATGCACTCGTTGCACATGCTCCTTTAGTTTATCCGAACGATGACTACTAAACGAACATAATTGGCATTTATATTTATTTAGCTCATCTGTTGAATGTTTGAGTGCATGTCGCTTCAGATTTTTATTTTGACTAAATTTGCAACCACAAACCTCACATACAAAAGGACGCTCCTGCTTGTGTGTTTCCATGTGCAAACGTAGGTTCTCTTTACGATTCGCGTGGTGCTTGCACTCAGGATAGGGACACTTGAAGTATTCGCCGGTATGTTGCAATTTGTGTGACTTGAGTGCTTTCATATGCGTGGTGCTATAGCCGCATACGTCGCAAAGCATTTGCTTCTCCTTGTTATGTACCAACATATGACTGTTCAGTCCTTGTTTCCATTTGAAACCTTTACCGCAATGTTGACATTGATGCGGTGTTTCGGTTGTGTGTTTGGGCAGATGTATTGCTAGCGCGGCACGATTGAAAAAACGTGCACCACACTCCAAGCAAAAGAAGGGCTTTTTCAAATCGCTTACGTGCTGCTTTATATGCGTCTCATACTCCCGCCATGCAAGAAATCCCACCTCGCACAACGAACAGGTGAGATGGGAAGGTTCGCAGCTACTCATATGCGCAATCATCTCCTGTACACGGTAACACTTGAAATCGCAGCCAATGCAGTAGTTGATTTTGCTGCTGGAGCAGGAAGAACGAGGGTTCCGTAACTGAAAAAACAAATTGTAATGTACATTTGCTGTTTTCACAAATACAAAAAATACACTTACTTTAAAAAAGTTACGCTGATCATTAAATATATCCTTATTGCCTAAATTTACATCGCCTTCTTTCTCCGCCGTTGACCGCATATTTGCGTTGTCGCCCTCTACAATTGCATCTTGATCAATAATTTTTACACTTTCATGCTTTGCAATCTTTTCAGCACTCGCATCGGCCGTTGGTACTAGTTCCTCTGTCAATCCAAACAAATTCATCAACTCTGTTACAGCTAGAATTCTAGCCAGCTGCTTGAAATGCGGTTCGTGTTCTTTTGCTATAGACACCACATCTTCGTAGAAGAACTCCATCATGGTATGTAGACATTGTGTGCAACTAAAGTTATTTATAGTCACCTTCAATGGGTTGTGTATGGAAAATTGTAGTGACTTTTGTATGAATTGTGGGCCGCCAATGAAACGACTTTGTGCGCCCACAACACAAAAGTGGCCAAATTGCGCAATGCTATCATCGGCTGCCGTGTCTACCTCCAATTCGATTACTAAATCACAATACTGCCCCGAGCGACGCTGATTGTTGAGATAATTCGATACCTTGGAATGTAATGGTTTATGAAGTGTTGGAACTAATTCTAGAGCTGTAGTCATTATTAACTAATTCGCCGATTTTATAGACAATTCTGTGTCTGCTCCAAAAAAAATTTTGTTTACTTTTATTATTGGATGATGAGAAATAAAAGTTGTAGACAGCTGTTCTGTTAGCACATGGTTGCATTTGCTGAGTGATGAACTGAGCATTGGGGTGGAGAAATAGATTGTGCGCATTCTAAAGGTGCAAAGAACGTAAATCTATAAGGGACAACTTTGACCGCATCTGACAGGTTTGCAAGAGGAATTCGTCGTTTTGACTGTCCGCTGCAGATTTTTTATTTTCACCTCGAATGCGAAAAACCAAGCAATCACTCCCGCGATTGTGTGTGTTGTTGAAATTGTTAAAATTTACATCTATCCAAGGTACATTGAACAGGTAGTATCAGTAGAGCAGCTGATTTG